TTTCTAAAACACGAGTACCACGTGGAACACGTTGAGTGGGTTTTGCATGCACTGAAGGATGCGGGGTTCAAAGTGGCTTTGGAAAAAAGCACATTCTTTTTGTCTGAAATCTCATTCTTGGGATACATCGTCACAACCGACGGACTAATGCCGGATCTGAGGAAGGTGGCAGCGGTACAAGAAGCCCCAGCTCCGGTCACGCTCACTCAGGTTCGAGCCTTCCTAGGGTTGGCGTCCTACTACCGGCGTTTCATCCAGGGGTTCGCCGGCGTGGCAAAACCTCTTACGAGTCTATTAAAGAAAGAAGAGCAGCTGGTCTGGACGTCAGAATGTGAGGAGGCTTTTCGGGCGCTCAAGAAGGCTCTGACAGCGGCGCCCATCCTGGCCAGACCTGATCCGACCAAACCGTTCGCCCTGCATACGGATTGGCAGCCGCAGGCGATGTCAGCAGTCCTGACTCAGCAGGGGGCAGACGACAAGGAGCGAGTCATCGAGTACGCATCAAAGACCCTGAGCCGAGCGCAATCCAACTACGAAGCGTGCAAAGGCGAATGCTTGGCGGTGGTGTGGGGGATTCAGCATTTCCGACCGTACCTCTACGGCCAGAAATTCGTGCTTGTGACAGATCACCAGCCGTTGTTGTCGTTGCGCAACAACACGGATTACACGGGAACAGTGGGGAGGTGGGCCGTGCGTCTGCAGGACTACGACTTCGACATCCGTCACCGCGCCACTCGACAGCACGGAAATGCCGATGGTTTGACACGCCTCCAGCCGCCCAACAAGTGTCCCACCCAAGAGCGACTCATTCCGTGGAAGCCAGAGCGAGCCCCGACGGAACCACGCTACGGGGAACTGCACGTGCTGCGCCAAAACACCGCATAAATCCGAGATGGAGATCTCGCCAGAGATTGCAGCTGCCGCCTCCTCGCCTTTGTCTGGATCTCCTACTCATTTGTCTATTCCCAACTCCTCCTCCTCCCTCTCGGGGTCACGTCCGAATCCTTGTTTCTTCTGCACCTTACCTATGATCCCGGATCGGGAAGGGTCACATCCGGGAGGGCCTWGTTTTCTTTCRTGGGTGCARTGTWGCCARTGTAGAATCGTTCGSTCCCACGGRCACTGYATTAGATACCRGAGTGAAAAGAAATGGGTCTGTCCCAACTGTAGAACGGACCACGTCCCTACCGAGAAACGGTATCTAGACGCTCGGACGGCCGACGGATTTTTGCCAAATGTCCGCCGTGCGGAAGTCTGGACGGATCTTCTGTTACTGAGAAGACTGACAGGCGATCCGCTGGCAGAACTTACTAAAGCCGAACGACGGCGAGTCACGGAACGGGCACGTGATTACCGTTGGCATGAATCGACCTTACAGAAGCGAAAGGGCGATGATGACGGAGGGTGTAGCTGGCTGACGGTTCCGCACCCTCTCACGAGGTTCAATTGGACCCGAGCAGCCCATGAAGAGGACGCGGACCACTTCGCGGTCAAATACACGGAAAAAGTTATCGAAAAGAATGGATGGTACTGGTCGGGAATTCGGGAAGACGTGAAATACATTGTCCAGAACTGCCCGGCCTGTGCGGCTGACAAGGCGCCGGTGCAGATGCCCCGGACAATGGTGCCCACTCGAGTAGAACGCCCCTTTCAGCGGGTCAGTATCGATACGACGGATATCAACGTGCCGAGAGGTCTAGCCGATCAAGGGGAGCTCAACGTTCTTTTAGTGGCCGTCGATTATTTTTCCAAGTGGATCGAGGCCTATCCAATGAGTAGTCGCAACTCCGTGGAAGTAGCCTGGTATATAAATTGCTTCTTGTGCATGCACCTAGACGTAGAAGAGGTACACATAGATAACGGGTCTGAATTTCAAGGCGAGATAAAACGTCACTTAGTAAGGGACGACGTCAAGATTTTATACTCACCGGGACATTGGCCTCAAGCCAATGGCCTAGTAGGGAATGCCAATTGACTGATTAAGACCACTCTCAGACGAAACATCACGGCTGGGGACACCCGACCCTGGCCTGTCATTGTCGATCATATCCTGGCCGTCTACCGGGCTACCCCGCACGGTAGCACCGGGGTGTCCTCATTTCAACTGAGAACCAACAGTGTCCCTCGGGCACATTTGTCACCCTTGGTGGGTACGGAAGTTAGAGCAACCCGGGCTCAGCACAGAGATAAGGCCCGTCACTACATGGACTTAATAGCTAGGGCCTATCCTCCGCTAGCCCGGCGATGACAGTGGGCCGTGGATCAGACGCATCAACGACAGATCCGAGATTACGAGAACCGACACGCGTCCGCGGGACCACTCCCTCGCTATAAACTTCGGGACTTGGTGCAGGTACGAAAATTCGCGCGCCCCTCCAAGATCCACCCATGCTACACAGGCATTTACGAGGTGACGGAAGTTGGCGCACAAGGACAGCACTCCGTGAAGCTGGTTCCCAGGCACAACTCGCAAGCCCTCCCTCTGATGAGGCATGATGCTGCTCTCCGGCCTTTTCGGCCATCGCTGAATCTCGTGCGGCCACCTGTCCCTTCTGAATCTTCTTCTTTTTCCCTCTCTCTTGCTCCTTCTTCCTCGCCTCCCTCTTTCCCTTCTCTCCGATCGGCGTCGTCGGCATCCGCGGAAGACCTTGCCTCGCAGGATGAACCATAGCCAACAGGAGCATGAACTGCTTGAGCACTTCCAGCCGCCCATCTCGGACGTTCTTCTGCGGAACCGGTTCAATGACGATCAGCAGTTGCACTTTGACATTCAGCAGGTGAACGTGTCGGCACCCAGCATTGGTGACTTGGCGGTGTACTCGCTCCTTGCGCAGCGTGTGAAGTACGCGGGCGTCTATGTGGACATATCGCCAGTGCCTGGTCAGGATTCCACGCGAGTGTTCATCGAGTTCCGAGCCATCCAGGTAGCAACGAACTTTGTGCACAGCGTCGCTACTTTCACCGAGGATTTAACCGTCTTGCAAGGGCACGACCGGGAGCCGGCGTACAGGTTCTTGCGCGACTACGCCCTCCAGGTGGCTAAATCGGTGGCGCGAGTGCAGGCGAGGGTCACCCATCGCTTCACCGCATACGAAGGACTTCTGCGGCGAGCTCCGGAAGGAGCACTTGCATTGGTGCCGCAGCTCCCCGCGCTCCTCCCTCCCGCCGAGCCCCTCAACATCCAAGTTGTCCATCCCCCTTCTCTCTAAATGCCTCCCTTCTTCTCTTACACTACCCTCCCTTACCAACTGACGCAACTCCCCTATCCCATGCGCAACTTCCCTGAGTACCTGGTGGAGCTGATGGACGTTGAGCAGTTGCCGCCCGCTGACGAGGACGCATGGGAGCTGCATCGGGCGCTGTATTCGTCGGTGGTGCTGGGCATGTTTACGTTCTTCGTGGAGTATGAAATTCATAACATCGGCGAGTTTCTCTACGTATATTACGTAATTACCAAGCCGAAGCTGGAGCGGAAGGAGGGAACGGTGGCGCTTTACCCTTTCGGGAGGATCGGGACGAATCGGTCGGGGCTCTTACAGCTCATCCACACCGAGCTGTTGTCCATTGCGCAGGTAATCGCCGCCGAGGAAGAAGACCTGCAGCTTAGACTGCGGACCGCCTCCGCCCCGTGCAGAGCATATAACGTGGCAGTGATACCTGATTACCTGGCGCGCGAGGGAGAGTCGGTGGTGGACTTTGGGCGCGAAGACAAGGCGTTGCGGCCTCCATCATCGTATCCGAAGCCGACCACCCTGAAGGCACCGAGAAAGAAGACCGTCCCGAAGCGGCGACGAAGTCCATCGCCGGAGGCTCAAGGCAGTCGGGTGGGGCCTGTCGAGGAGGTTGCCCAGCCTGCGTCGGTGCGCACGGTCGATCCGGTTCCCGAGAGAAGCGCCACCCTCATCATCGGACCCCGGTCGAGGGAGGACCGCGCAGCCGAAGGACCGTGGAGATCCTGAGGCCATCAGGAGCCGGCACCTCAGCGGCCCCGCCTCCCCGATCTCAATAGCAATGAAGCCGGGCCATCAGGAGCAGGAGGGGGATTGGGACGAGTTCCATATCCCGCATCCAGACCCCCCCTCCTCGCAGGACCGTTCCGATTTCGCCAACCCCCCCGGCTATGTGTCCGAAATTGGATTCAACGGGGGTTTTCAGTTGAACGGTTCAACTCCCATTCAACTTTTGTTGCAACTCCACGTTAAACCGAGTTGAACGTGGTACAACTCGGCCCGCGGATCTTTTTTCGGCAGGTAAAACACAACTGAAAAAAAAATCAAAAAATATGGGGTGGTAGATTTTTTTGCTCTCTACATCCCCATATTTTTATTTTTATTTTTATTTTTTTAGCATCAAAATTATTCTTAAAAAATCAAAAACAAAACCAGACTCAAAACATATATATATTTTTTTCTTTTTTTTTTTGATTGATTGATTGATTGATTGATTGATTGGTGGGGGATGGGTCGCCCCTCCCACCCCCACCGAATCAGACCCACATACACATACACACACACACACGCCGCGCGGGGTCCCCGCCCACGCAACTTCGGCGAAAGAAAGTGAGTGAGTGTGTGTGTGTGTGTGTGTGTGTGTGTGTGTGTGTGTGTGTGTGTGTGTGTGTGTGTGTGTGTGTGTGATTTGGTGGGGGTTGGGGGGGCGACCCATCCCCCACGAGTCAGTCAGTCGGTCAGTCAGTCAGTCAGTCAGTCAGTCAGTCAGTCATTCCGTCAGTCAGTCGGTCGGTCAGTCAATCGGTCAGTCGGTCGGTCCGTCGGTCGGTCCGTCGGTCGGTCCGTCGGTCGGTCC